TTAAGATATTTCAACCATTTATCAATTAATTTCAGCTACCTAGTTATGCATTAGCTTACGCTTAGCTATCTAATTCAACCCTTTATCCATTACTTTTACACAGCACTGATTATCCATTACTTTTAGCTTGTTGTTTCAAACAACGTATTACCTATAACTCACTGTTTAGACCTCAGAGTTCTTGTAATTCCTTACTAGTTTTCATGCCATCTCAATCGCAACATGTAGCGTTCAAGTGGCAGCTATAGCCAACTCAATATGTCAAATAGCAAATTGAAATTTCTGTTTTTTCAAATTAGTTGTTCCTGTCCACAGTCTTTCCATGTACTTCCTTGCACCTTCAGAAGTACCATCTGGATTACAAGTACCCCTGGTTGGGAATCACTGATCTCATACATGTGCAAAACTGACTTAAATACATGACACCTCTTGTCTTTCTCACAATCTTTCTCTAATCAGTCACACATGGCAATTATCGGGTGCTGTCATATTACAATTATATAAACAACTAAATATTAAAAATGAGTGCTGCATCTATGTGCACTATGGTATAATAATACAAAATGAATGGCACATTATTCTTTTCATTGGAGAATAGAAACATTTTGATGATTACTTTTTATGCCCTTAGTCAGACTAGAACAACCTCAACAATATGTGTTGAGGATATGTAATTTCAGCCACTTAGGATCATTAAAAAGAGATCATATTGAATATCACTTCTAGAGAGAGAAAGAGAAAGCGAGAAAGAAATAAAGAAGAGATTTGTTTGTCAGTCAGTTCCGACCCACTCAATCTCCTTAGCCTTGTGAAAGAGGGGGAGAGAAAGGGTTGGGGTCAGCTTTCTGTAAATCTTCTGATGAAATGTTGACAAAACAGCCAATTTTCTGTAATTTTGCTGCAGCCGTCTTTCAGCGGTTTACTCACTCAGAACCCCTTCATTTCAAACAGCAGCACACTGCGACCTCTGACATGTATCTCGTCCCTGACTTCTTTGGCCTGGCAGAAAGACGTAACAGTTGTGCCTTTTAGGTCAGGTGGATGCCGTTTAAGAAGCCAGCTTCATAAATGAAGCCTTTGTCTCTCAAACAGGCTCTCTTGGGCCCCAGTAAAAGGATAAGAAATGTAGTTAATAGCTCAGGAGTGGCCTAATCATCAGCTGCCATTACTGCTCCAATATCAGCAGAGATGACAGACTTATCAATAACAAAGGCCCAGCTGAAGCCTCCACCGCTCTGTCATTTTGATCTTTGCTCCACTAATCAGAGCTTTCATTTGAGCTAAGCACCGGGCAGCACACCTCTCATTCTCTTCATGCTGTGCCAGATATCACTCATCTTTACAAGCCACTCTGTATTCCCTCAACCCCAGGCCACCATTTCCACAAATTGGCTTAATTTCTCAGGCAAATATATGACACATCTGAGAGCTCATTATCCCTGCAATGCAAGTGATTATTGTACTTACTGCTAAAACTCTCTTCTTAGCTTCCGAGGTTTTGTCTTGAATGGCTTTGGTTGGAGCCCAGCTGATTTTCAAAATGAGATGAAGATATGTCAAACTGACTATCACTGTGGTATATAAATATTTCATAAGCTTATGCTGTGCTTGCACTTCCAGAAACATCAAAGGATTTTTTGCCTACTATTTGTCCAATGCAAAGCAAAGAGACTATGTGTTGTTTAACAAGAACTCTTATATCAATAAAAGGCCGTCAGTCATCTATACAGATATTTAACTGTCTGTGTCATTAGCCTCAGAGAACAAATTGCCCTCATGTAGAATATTAAAAATCCTAAAGGGGTGATGTATATGCTTTTTAATAGTAACATACATAGTTTAATGCCGATATTTCTCTTGTTCATTCTTCCACAAAAAGCTCCTCCGTGAAGGAGAAACCGGAGAAGGGCCAAAGAGGTGCTCCCGCACCTGGACGGGCTGGCCCTTTCATTTACAGTCGTGGTGAGGATCAGGCACTGACTGACTCAGACACCTGCTATTGGGAAATATGTTCTCCATCAGTGAGCTATAGACTATTTCTGGACAGGAGCACTGGGAGACCATTGTTCTCCTCGGCACTGACAGCCAAGGTATTCTGGGACTCTTGGCACACAGAGAAAACAATGTGTTATTCATGTTAATCTTAAAAATTGGGCTACTTATTCAACATTACCAAACAAACCCTGGTGAGATTTGTTGACTGCGGCAGAATGGCTTGATAGCTTTTAATATTGCAATGAAACTGCTAACATTACATGTTCCATAGAAGAAGCTAACATACGCCTACTATGGGATTTTTTGAACAATTGTAATTGATGGAACAAAATAAAGAAACAGAAATATGAATATACTTTGAAGTATAGTTAGACTATTTAGAGTATATTACCATGGTCACACAAATTTCTTTTTCAGACAAAGAATAAATACCTATCTTTCATATTAAGCATAACCTATGGTCACGGGCTTAACATAAAACACAGGAGCTCCTTATTCTCTCAGTTTGATACATGATATGCGCTCCTTAAACAAATCATCTGGTCTCTGCTCCTATACCGTCTTATACAAGGGCAGGGGGTTTGGAGATTTTGCAATGTCATCTGGGATTAAAAAGGAGCAGCACATCAGAGCCCCAGGCCACACCACCTGGAGCCCCTATACGATCCCTGGCGCTGCACCACTCAAAACCAGCCCCATTAGCTTACCGCCATATAATTCCTGGTCAACCAAATGACACTGAGCTAACAAAGCCCCATTTCAGAAAAGATTACAACTTCAACAGGAAACCCTTTGATTATGAGTTTGTTTGAAATGTTATCAATACCATGATCATTCCTGCAGATCAACAAAACTATCTCTAATCACCATACTTTGGCTGCACCTTCAGTTATGCATCAATCTCCTGAAAAAAAAAGAAGAAAATCACGGTCGAGAATAGAGGAGTGACTTGTTTAACAAGAAGCACGTGCAATGACAAAGCGATTTCTCTCTCTACGTTGATCACCCACCTGCACACAGATTAGGTCAGATATTCACCTGAGCTGCCAACCTGTCACTCACACTCAATAAAAAAACAGAAACACACACAGTGCACATTCATTCCCCTCCACGGCAAGTATTGCAGATAAAGTGCTCCTAACAGAAGACAGCAGACAAGAGTTTACTTTGTCCCTTTTACCGGCAGAAAAACAGACAATTATCAATAAGAAAAATAAAAAAAGAGACAGCATATACAGTGTTTGCAAGCACCTATTATAATCAACGAGTAAAAGTAAGGCTCAATAAAATTAAGCTAAATATGGCTTTCACCTGAGCTTTAACCTCACAATATACCTGTGATTTGCAAATGTAAAAGTTGATAACCAAATGATTATGAACTATCCAATATTGTATGTCAAGACTTTGTGTAGGTGCAAAATCCTTATAAATAATTACAATATGCCTGCAGTGTTCAAGATTATATTCAAAACTCTGCTGTACATAAAAGAGACTACTACAGTAAACAAACCTCTTTGTCTAAATTGGGGGATGGCCAAACATTGTAAAATCTAAATTTAAGTTCTGTTTTCTTAAGACCCTGCACTTACAGTATTTTCCATTTTGTTATTTTTGTAGTTTTATTGGATTAATGAAAGAATATATTTATACACTGCCACGAGCAAATACTTCCTCATTAAATCATGCAGTGGTTCCAATATTTTGGAATAACCAATAATTTGCGAACACTTAATCAGTCATGATGCACTAGTTAATAAACATAATCCAGCCCTTTAAAACATCTATTCACTGTGTTAAAAAATAACGATTAAAAAAAAGAACAAACAGTAACAGTTAACCTGTTACTGTTTGTATTCTAAGTCACCACTTTTATAGTGTATAATCTAATGTATTTTATAATGCCATCTAAATGCTTCAATGGCATATTTTCTTTGTAATGCTGATCCACCTCAACCTTTTGAGAGTTGTGCATTATAATGAAAGGGAGGATTGGGGTGCAAAGTTTGAGTTTCACCATCAATTTAGTCTCTGGCGCCCCTTTGTGGTATCTATAAAGAACTGAATGGATTTATTTTGCGTTCATGAAAAGTGATTATGTAACTCATTCCAAAAAACTTATTATTACTATTGTACTTATTGAACACAACAAATGGCTGAAAAACTACATTAAATTACAATGTGACTATCAAAGCATCTAATGAGTTGACCAATGCCTTTTAAGTTGTGACAGTGACACGACTCTGCTCATCTTAATTTAAGGGGCGCAATACCACAGTTCCTGCTGTCTCTTGGTGATAATTTAATGCTACCTTCTGTTTGTGGGTCTAAGGAAATAATACGAAGAATAAATTCAGTATATATCATTAAGAGAGAGTAAATGTTACCAATGTTTTAACTTTTCATAATATAATAACGCACGTGTGTGTGTGTGTGTGTGTGTGTGTGTGTGTGTGTGTGTGTGCGTGTGTGTGTGTGTGTGTGTGTGTGTGTGTGGGTGGGGGGGTGGTGGTGGGTTTGGGGGTAGGCAACTGCACAGGTGCATAGCTGGGCTGGAAAGGTATGGAGCACTATCCTCTCAGATTTAAATGACAAAAGTTGATAGTGATACAATAAACATTTACACAACAGAGATCAATACACTAAATAAACGTGGATTTTGTCATTCAGTGTTCCCTCCCACTGTCAGTGTTGTAAAGTGGAAGCAGATGAAACTGACGTATGTATACTATCATGGTATAGGTTTAGTCAGTAGATAAGAGTATGAGTATGGCAACATTAATCTGCTGGAAACAAATTGGAAACCGACTGTAGGCTACTTAACATTTATTTTTGCGCCTGTATATGTTCTCCATCACGTTGTATATTAAGTACACGATGTCTCTGTACATAACACTGACATGAGCCAGGGAGGGGCTGCTGCAAAACACACTGATAGAATGAATGCAAAGAGCCAAAAGAACACTTCCTGTTGATGCAAAAATTGCAGCAGCAACTGTCTGACACATCTGGACTGGAGAGGGGGGGAGGCCTGGCTGTAGTGTTAGCGAACTACTGAGGGGAATGGACAACGTTTAATGCTAATCTGCAAGACGGTGAGTTTGCTGGACTTCAACTTTGGCTTGAACTAGTGACCATAATGTGTCTGTAATGTCGGCACGTCTTTGATCTTACAGTTTAAGTAACGAGCAAATAATTGCGTGCGACCGTACGCTAGCAACTACCTGCTAGGAAGCGTTAGCCGCTACTTAGCATCGGTCGCTACGTAGCCCTGGCTGACATGGAACAGTTGCGAGCTAAGCTAGGTAGCATACTAGCTATTTCATATGACAGCCGACATAGTTTGCACCCGCGTTCGATGTTGTAACTTAGCTACTTAACTGTACAATGTTGTCAAGCTTTTGTATAGGCAGAGAAAATGTGACTAAATTGTAAACTAATCCACCGTGCGTTCAAGAGTGAAGTCAGAATAAAAGTTACGCATTTTTCTGAAACAATTGCTCGGTTTTAGGCTGTGCTAGCTAATATAGCTGGTTAGCGAGTGCTTGTGTGCTGCTTGATAGTTGGGTGTATCGGCCCCGTGAACCGATGTTTTAACGAACGTTAACCTAACTGCAAGTTATCGAAGAAACGAGAAGTTTTGCAGACAACAAAACAAGAAGCAGGTGGATGTCATGTTCAGGCTAATGCCAACGTTAGCAGCTCCGCTACGTGGACCCCCTATCACTAGCTACCTAAAGTACTACCAGAATGGTTTGCAACAAAGTTTGAAACCCCGCACGTTTACTCCCCGGTGTATCGGCGTTGTGTACACGTACGATGGGATCAAATGTACATGCTAATGTCCCCAATGTCCATGCATGATAAAGCTAGCATAAGTAAATGTGTCGCTAAAAGTCGCAATAATAAATCGTACTGTAATCCCACCGTTCGTGTAAGGGATGGTATCAGGCCCTTATGTTTTCAGCGTGTCAGAAACTGACCTGAACCAACAACGTTTTTTTTCATTTGGCATCTGTTACGCTTAAAATCGAAAGATACCAGTATTAACAATGCTCTTGGTAACAGCTAATGTACCTGTGAAGTAATTATACAAGGATGGTATGGCAGGAAAGGACAAAGTGCAGGAACATGGCAGGTCTTTCAGTACACCTGGGTTCACCTAGGTCACCAAGGACTGTGTTTAGTACTATTTCTGTGACATCCATTTGCTTTGAAATCTCCTATTCTGCTGCATTAACAACCCAGTTTGAAACCAAAAACACATTATTCCGGAACAACTGCATCTGAAACCAGTCCAAATATTTTAACTATAAGGCATGTCAGAACAGAGTCGAGCCAAAGCAATTTCGACTTTTACATGAGTAGACATTATGGTTTTGCACCCATTCAACCTACCTTTTTTATAGCCTTGTTTCTGTTTGGGATAAGCAGTAAAACTGTATTGGTTTTAACCACTGGCTGAAATTAGTGATTGGGCAAAACAAGGAATATAGATGCCAGGTGCATAAATTGATCTCTGATGAAAATTGGACTCTTGTGAGGTCTATTGTGGTAATCTGGTAATTCAGAAATTGTTGGGGTATGAGTGCAGTGGTTATGGTTTATAGTAACTTTGTCAGTAGCAGGTACCATGTGCCACGCTCTGTACATTTGCAAAGAGCATTATTTTCCCCTGATATTTTTGGCAATCTTTAAAATTATGTTTTCTGCTCATGATATTGCGATATTCATTACCTAATTATTGGTTTAAATGTTGCTTTATTGAGTAATGTTTTCTGAATCACAGGGTAAAAGGTTCAACTCCTATTGTGATTCAAAATGTTTATTTTATATATATTTACTGATACACTGATTGGCTGCAGCATTAAACCCAGTTACCAGTTTTAATGTTGTGCCTGATAGGTGAATATCTTTTATATGATTTTGGATGTGTAGAAAACCTATCTGAAGAAGAAGAAGACTAAATCTGAAAAACATTCATACGTTTTTGTTTTTCCTGCATTACAACAGCAAATGGTGGCTACCTATATTAAATTATGGTCCACCTCAAGTAAATCCTGACCATTTGGTGGTATTTGGTGGAGACTACATTATCACTGCCAACTGGAATTGTAACAGTGTAATCACTGCAGGGTGGCTCTAGGTGAAAAGACAGTGTTTTAGGATGACAGCTTAACTATTAGTGGTGATCATTAAAAGCACTGTCATGCTGCAAAAAAGAGGTGGTAAATTTGTCAGGGCTGACCCTTGACAGAATGCAGGACAACTTCTGCAGAAGGAAAGCACCAGTTATGGAGGCCAGAGTCAGAGTACTCTTATGTTGTAGATAGGTTCCTTTTCCACTAGTTACTCTCATCTGAATGCATCCGTTGTTGCTTCCAGTGAATACAGGTGTTGGAGATGACAAGAAAACATTTGGCTGTCTTTGCGGATGCCTTTTTGTTTGTTTGTTGTGTCTTTTTTTCCATTAATCCCCAAAACACACCTATCTGTTTCTTTTCGAGTGTTAGCCTTGAGCAGCACTGTGTCACCAACAAGAACTTGGCCAGTTCTATTCAGTTTTTATGAATGAATGTTTTTTTAATACAGCAAGGTTAAGAATCAATATGGTGTAGAAAAAGAATAAATGAGGTCTTTTAAATGTCCCATATTTTACACATTTCCAGTGCTTTATTTAAAGTGTTGTTATCCATAAAAAGATACATTTGTGGTTTTAAGTACCAAAAATCATCTGAAAATAGTTTTACATCTCTTCTCCCACACTTCTCTTTGGAACTCTAGCAAGGTGTTTTGTGTGTGTTTCAGAGGCCCTTTAATGGTTGGCTGAAGGTTTTCTGAGTGATTGTTGTAGCCCACTGCTGCACCTTGGTAAAACTCACTGGTAAATGCAAGTGGCGATGGTCAGTCATCGCTGAAATGAGCCGAACAGACGGCCAAATTTGGACTAAAATGCTCCGCTAATTTGGGGAAAAAAAACTTAAACCACTGGTTTCTAATATTACTATCCTTGGGATGGCGGTGCGCTTTTCTGTCTTATAGCTTGCTAACTCAGCAATGGAATGACCGCTTTGTGTTGTGTTGTTAATAAAGTGGACTATGGGTCCAGGTGGGCTGTGCTGGGGGCATGGCTGAGGGCAGTGACTGTATAGTTGTGACATCACAAAGATACGTAAGTCCTGACGGCTCGTTTAAGTCACAGTTTGTGAATGTAGGCTGTATCCATTTTGCCACTGATTGAGCGGTTTAATACTTTAACAGTATTTACTGTTTAAGGTATAACACCTCGACCTACTTTATCATTCAAAAAGATATAGAAATCTTACTTTCTACAATATATCACCTTTTAAGACTTTCACTTGTGTTCATTTTATAAACATGTGAATAAGCTGAGAAGAAAAAAGACCCTTTCCTGGTTTTCCAGTTACTCAGCCAGAACAAATCAAATAAGAGAACACACCCGAAGGCTAAGCATACAATATTTAGCTCTGCATACTGAGCTCCCACTAAGCTTTAACAATTTCCACAATGCATGTTATTCTTACACCAGCAAAGTTCCTCACATCATACCCTCCCTTTAATGTATCCCAATCTGGTCTATTTTTATCTTGTTTTGTACTATCTGTTTTAAATTGCTCCCCTAACCTTTGCTTGTTAAGCAGTTCTGTTCTGGATCTGGTCCTCCCCACAAGCTGTTTTTCAAAGTTGGTGAAATGCTGCTGATGTTGAAGAAAGCATACAGTGCTTACCTGCTGACTTTGATTTATCTTCTACTGTTTTTTTTTTTTTGTTTTTTGAGTGACATGGCAAAGTTATTAGAGACTTCATATAAGACTCTGCGGCTGTGGGTGATGTCTTTCCACTACAGTTATGCTGATCTTTTGGTCAGCCAAACTATCACAAGATACTCAGCATCCTTTCTATGTACCTACATGAAGCAGCTGTGTCAAACAGGTTTATTACCAGACAGGGAACTTGAGCAGCAGATGGAATTTTTGAGCTGAGTTTTAACATTTTCAGTTTTCCCACGTGAGCCAAGCATGTGACCCTCACCCAGCATGTGCATCTCAACTACTGAGAATGCATTCTTTGGCTGCCCTTCTACTTGGCTCCATCTACTATGCATGCTGTTGGCAGCCATCAGTGATATGTTTTAGTGTATGAGCATGTTCTCTTTGGTAAAGGGGAGTAAAAATAATGCACACCTTGTTACAATTCTCTCTGTTCTGATCCATCTTTCCCTCGCCTGTGCCAGGATGAGAACATATGGTTAGTTGGACAGGTGTCTTGGCAGGCTTTGGCAACTGGAGAAAGCGTTTACGTTCCCAAAGTGCTGACAGGGATTCAGTGCGCGGAAGATCATGCTGAATTGCCAGCGAGGGGCAGGAGGGGTTTAGGAGGAGGAGGTGCAGAGGGAGAGATGGGAGAAGGGCAGATGGAGTGGGGGGGGGTAAGCTGGAGAAAGGACACATACTGAGGTTTTGCAACACAGAAGTATTTGCTTTTACAAACACAGAATTACACAGTAGGTACTATAGAATTAGATCTCACAGTTGCAGTGTTCCACAGTTTCGTTTAACATGTTCTGCGGAGAAGGCAGGGCCAATGTCGGTTAATCATTTATCAACCAGCACAAGTCTGTATATATGTCAGGGTAGTATGCCACTGGTGTAGCTATGACCTGAATTGGATGATTTGATAATTTGATCACTGATCATTTTCACAAGATGTGTCAAAGCTTGTCAAAGTGTGTTCATCAGGAATGAGAGGATGAAAATTATCCACAAATATGCAAAAGTTGTTTCAGTCTTGTTACCGACACTCTTTGATTAATAAGAGAGGCTTCAAAGAGAGGAGAGATTCAAGAACACTTGCACAAGTGCATGCGGCCCTTCTGTGTAGAACCAGATTTTCTTCTTTCTCTGCCAAATACATTACATACGTATACCTGTATGACTGTTATGCTTCACAACAGTAGGTGTGAATACTAGTACAATGTGTTCCATCAGTTGCTAATGTTTCTTTAACTTACGCCCTATTTCCTGTTAAACAGTAACGACAAGGATTAAATGGATAACAGATAAAACATGTTAATAAATAACAAATAAAATGACGGCTCAAATATAGGGAGATTAATTTTCAAATTGAGAATTTTATCTTTGGATAACCTCGTCTCCCTTGTTCTCTCCGTCCCTCTAATATTTGCACTTTATGCTGTTTATGTGGTGTGATCCCAAGAAAACAGACAGTATTTTCAGCATTCTCCTTGCATTATCTATATGTTGCTGTGAAAAAAAATGATCTGCTACATGGTTAAAATGTATATTGGAGCCATTATGAAAACACGTCTGTATGCTTTATGTGTAATGTTTGGAGATTTTCTCGTTGTAAATCTACAACAAAATGAGTTCGGGTTACCTGTTGTGGTTAAGCAGATGTCTTTTGTTTTTTATCTTTGGGATTGAGAGATAATGATATTGTCGGACTTTATAATGTTTAGTATGTGCCATCCCAATACTTTGATGATGCCACTTTTGACAGCCAGATGACATTAACAGTAAAGTTAATTACCATAAATGACAGTAGTTTGTAGTATGGATAAAATCCTCCATGAATGGGCCAATACAACCAGAGATATTGAAGGTACAGTTCAGGACAGGCAAAATCTCAGAAGGTTGAGAAATTTATATTGTCTCACAAAATATGGTATAATATCATTTGTATTGCCTAGGTCTGTGTCTAAAGATTAAAAAAAAACAAATACTACAAATTATTTTAAACTTGAGTTAAGGAAGATGTGTTTGCTGTGATGTGTTCAATATTGTTTCATTTGGCTTAGTATTTGTTTTAAACAATACTGTATAAAGTAAGCCTGTATCAAATGTTCATCTAAAACAACCTCCTTTCTCATTTGTATTATTTATAATGTATAATAACATTTTCTTAACTGTGAAATTGTAAAAATGTAGCAATACATTGCAAACAGTCTTTCAAAACCTAATGCTTTATCTTTTTTTTCCCCATCAGGTTGTCGACAAGCTGGAGAAACATATCCAAGAAATGGACGACGGCAGCTACATCGAGTTCGATGTGCCGGAGTTCAGTAACACTGTTCTGACCCAGCTCAATGAGCTGCGGCTGCAAGGGAAGCTGTGTGACATCATTGTTCACATTCAAGGGCAGCCATTTCGAGCCCACAAGGCTGTGCTGGCAGCTAGTTCACCCTACTTTCGTGACCACTCAGCTCTCAGCACCATGAGTGGCCTTTCCATCTCGGTCATCAAAAGCCCTGAGGTGTTTGAACAGCTTCTTGCATTCTGCTACACAGGTCACATGTCCCTGCAGCTCAAGGATATTATCAGTTTCCTCACTGCTGCCAGCTTTCTGCAGATGCAGGCCATCATTGACAAGTGTACCCAAATCCTGGAGAGCATCCACTCCAAGATCAGCCTCCCAGTTAGTGTCTGCAGCCCAGAGAAAGACGACTCGCAGACCAGCCGGAATGGGGTCAATGACAGCAACCTCTTTGTAAACCCTACCCAGATCTCCCCCCCTTACTACTCCCGGCAGAGTCAAACAGGACATGGCTTGGGCCGGGGGCGGCAGCAACAAGAGGAAGGCCAGTCGGACCGTGGCAGTAGTGATAGTGTGTCAGAGCATGATACTCCCATGGAGGGAGAGACAGAGCAAGTGGAACTGATCGGCAAAGATGGGCAAGTAACAGATGTGCACGTGAAGATAGAGAAGACCGACAGGCCCACTTACTCAGATAGCTCATCAGCTGGTGATGATGGTTACCACACAGAGTTGGTGGATGGAGAACAGGTATTGGCTGTTAGTGTGGGTTCTTATTGCCCTGTCATCCAGCCTGCTGCCTATTCTTACTCAGGGCTGTCCTCCCCGTCCTTTGTCAACCTTAGCAGCTCTAGTCCTTCCCGCTCCATGCTCAGTGGCTACAGAGGTGGGCGAGCCAGGGCGAAGCGCCCCCTGGCCATTCCAGCAGGGGTGCTGAGTCACGTCAAGCCAGGCTCAGAAGAAAGCGAATCAGCTGTGGGACCCACAGGGTTGGAGAACGACGTGCGAGAGCGTAGCCTACGGAGCCAGTGGTACCCCTACAATGAGAGACTCATTTGCATCTACTGTGGAAAGACCTTCAATCAGAAAGGGAGCCTGGACCGCCACATGCGCCTGCACATGGGAATCACTCCATTTGTTTGCAAATTCTGTGGCAAGAAGTACACAAGAAAAGACCAGCTGGAGTACCACATCCGTGGCCACACAGACAACAAGCCCTTCCACTGTCAGATCTGTGGCAAATGCTTCCCATTTCAGGGCACCCTTAACCAGCACCTGAGGAAGAAGCACATGGGAGCAACAGAGGGCAGCAACCACATGGACTCTCCAGAGAGGACGGAGGGAAGCTCAGGTCAGAAGGACCAAGTGGATACGTCTGAGGGGATGGCTTTCGAGGCGCAATATGCAGAAGAGGCACCAGCCAATGATATGGAGGAAAGTTCAAAATGCAGTCCAGAGGAGGCTCAAGCATCAAGATGTGATTTTTAGGTCCAGGTTAAGGAAGCTTTAAAAGAAAAAAAAAAGTTTATTTCAACACACGTTAAAGGACTTTTTTTCTTTTTGAATCAGCTCCCTCTACTATGGACATTTCTTGCATCAAGGGTTTCTGTCAATTTTGTGAAAGTTAGTTATTGAATGCAGAGAGCAAATGGGTGCTTTATAGAAATATGATTCTTTCAAGCAAAGGGAGTCACAATTTACTATTTTTGAGGTGGTCAGAATAATCAAGACCCCCTAATTGATTTCTCTTTTTATCTTTCAATGTTTTTTAAAACATATTTACAGAGTTATATAGGCATGTTGCAATAATTGATAATGTGAAAGCTCTAGTAAGATGCTTGTCATATCACCTTTTTACCTGACCTGTTTTTGCACATGTGGCCACAGGAGGTCACTTACTCACAAGGAATGATTTTTCTGCCAGTGCAAAGCTTCGTGTGACATATCCGTTCAATACCTCATGATGCAACTACATATTCATAACAGACAGTATTTTAACTTAAATGAAACTCACCAGGTTCTACCTCATAGCCAAGAACCTACCAGGCACAGATGTGTTCACCGTTTGGAATCCGTTTTAGGTTATATGTACAGTATCTTATTGCCAAACCCTGTAAAGAATATTAACACAAAGCCTTGATACTTAAAGGAAATGTTCCTTGCTGATTGTATGGATTAGGGACAAAGTCCTTTTCAGTTGTTTCACGGTCAGCCAGGTTAAAATGATGATCAAGAAGGTGCTTTGTTAGGAGTGCATTAAATTTGCTAGCTTACTTGTGTGTTTGTTTTTGGCAAATGCGAAGAACAGAGTAAGAGAATGGCCCTACATACTTTTCAAGATATGATTTTGCTCTCTCATAACGTTTGTTCTACAAAACACAAAAGATTTTTATCTCTCATCACTACTGGAGATCTCACTCTGTTGGCCAAGGTGGTTTTAGATGCTGTCATCCATGTAATGGGTGAATTACGTCCATACAGTGAAATCGTTTATATTCCTCTATACTCTGATGGCAGATTTATACCGAACTATTGTATGTGTTTTGTCCTGAGATAGGCTTCTAGGTTAATACTCTTAACGCCTAACCGAGACAAGAGTACTCGTTGTCAACTCAGCACAGGAGGAACATCCCTGGATCTGTTCACATAAAACATTATAGTATACAAGTCTGAATAATATGCAAACAGAAAGAACAAAGGAATCTCAGCCATTTTGACATGGGTTTTCCTACATTATTTGGAAGAGCTATTGGTTTGTTTCCTTTTTTCTCATTTTGTCCTACCTTTTAAGGTGGGACGATTGATCTGTGATATTTGTTCTCTGCATTGGTTGGGGTTAAATGCAGATTTATTTTATCAGTCCTACTTTATGGCGTTGACATAGATGCAGCATAGCTAGATTAAGGCTAAGAGGTAAATGATGTTATAGGTAGCTGGCGATCCAAAGTATTTATGCACTTTGCAGAGTTAGTGGGTGGGATGGGAGCTGTTCCAGCGATAAAATGTGCTAATCTCTGTCTTAATTCTGATGCAGCAGCAGCAGTGTCAGAGTAGTACTTGCTTCATAGAAGCAATTTTACCTCTGAGAAAAAAATGTTGTAAACTTTGTTAAGACTCTGCAATCACATGAATACTATTGGCTACAAGTCATACATATGGCAACATTGTATTTTATCTATATTATTTGAACCATGGGGATCAGGGTTGGGGATGTTTTTAGCATATAGAGACTTGGGTTTATTTCCATTCTGATTTAAAATAATCTACATTCACAGTAAATACTTAAAGGCACTTAGAAGGCCTGATTGATGATCATATTCTGCAAATTTAAAGCTCAGCTGGGTGGTCCTTTTTGTGCTGTCCTGCTTTCTTGTTTGCTATCCAGCTGCTTATTGCCTTTTTTGAAGAGCACCTGCTAAATGCTTTTATTTTGTCCCGTCTGGTCCATGCTGAATTTGTGTCAATGAAATTGAGTTTGATTATTTTACAGTTTTCATATAATTTTCTACTTTGTGTGGGTGGGAGAATATTGTTGCTTATGTCTAATGTTTCGTCAAGAGTGCAGTCCTTTTTATTCCACTGAATGTGCTGTCATCGACTTCACTCAGTTAAGATTGCAATCCAAAATTTAGGGAATTTTGCAAAAATCGGTATAGCTAGCTTTTCGTTATCTTTTTGTGTACGGATTTATCACAAACACTTTTGGCCGTCATCAGCCACAGTCTGTCAACCTCTACAGTACTTTTTAGATGAATGTTTACGAAGTCAAGTTTATTTCTGTCAGCCGCTGATGTGATGTGCAGGTTTGACAGCTGATCTGACCTCACCAAAATCAGTCACTGATTAGTTTGATTTTGCCTGTGATGATTCTTTCCCTTCACCAAGAAAAAAAGGAGGAGATGCGTACTGTCTTGCATTATTGTCAGTAATGTTTTGTGAGTAATAGGTACAAACTTCTAAAACAATTTTGTGCCAAGACTTCACACCAAAGACTAATAGGTAATTTATAACAGGAAATTTTGACTGTATTGCATAATTGACTGCTTATTAAGAAGAATAGGTTCTTAATTTAATGTAGGATTAGTTCATTGCTATTTGCAAGGAATGTACGTTTCCCAGCTTATAACAATCAGTTGTGTAAAATTTGAACAATTTGCTAAGAAGACATTAAGCAGCAAAGTCATAAATAATATCATATATTAAGCCATACAAAAGCTGACAATATAAAAGTTGTGCAATTGTAATTGTTTAAAGCCAATGTAAACAACAGAGAGAATACTTCACAAAAAGTGGCATCTTAAACTTAGTGCCTTGCCACAAGCTTTACATGTTAGATTCTGGCACTTAGATTCTTGTGCCTCTTTCATTTTTTAAATGGATTGAATAGAGAGATTATAACAAACTATGGCCACATCATTTATGTAAAGTGGTACCAAGAATGAATAGAAACTAATTCATGTTATTCTTGTCCATTTTTTAGTTGTGCCCCCTGTTGTTGCTTTTTAACATTTGATTCAGTTTTTTTTGTCATGGGATGGAAAACTGATTTTAAGGTTTAACTGATTTTGTAGCAATTGATTACAATCAAATGAGGCAGACTTACTCCCCTGCGAGCCATTGCCCCCATGTTCAGAGACTATACTGTATCCCTCCTCTCCTCTCCTCTCCAGCCACTGAGGACAATCTTAGCAATGTACTGTAGTTGTAGGCATTTTAATGAAGGAAGGAGATGCATGAGAAACACAAATCTACTTCCTCCCTGTTCTTTCGGAGCATCTGGCAGGGGAACAGCTGTCTGGGTATTTAGCTAATAATTAACTTAATATTTCTTGATTTAAAAAAAAAAAAAAAAAAAGAAAAAAAAAAGAAGCTTACCCCCATATACTGTAGATGAATTGCACGTCGCTCAACCACAAAATTGTATAAAATTGCCAATGGATAATTTTTTAACTTGAGTTTTCTTGTATTTGTGTCATCGATTGTGCACTTATGGTTTTTTGTTGATATTACATACCAATTCCATCCAGGAAGTCTAGTGTAGTTACCCTTAAGGGACTCAGCTATAATGGCCTCAATCACTTTGGTAGGGACCTTCTCCCCTTAAATGGTGCTTTTAGACTAGTCAGGTTTTTTTTTCTTTTTCTTATCAAATGAGTAAACAAGTCCATGTCTTCATCATAAGCGAATGGAGGGGAAATTGTTTAATGCTTTTCATGAACTATAGTTACTTATGTGATAGTACACATCTACAGAACCAGTTGAACTTGACACACACTCGAATTGACTCTTTGTCAACTCTTAGTTCCACACCTCTGAGAGGAACAGGAGATGCATTATGGGCCACAAGTAATCAAAAGGAAGTGTTTACAGGGAAGGCTGTCAGACTACTTTTTTGAAATTGCAGCTCGTCCTATTCCTTTTATAATAAACTCACTTCAGGTAGTTTACGAACACTGATACAGGCTTAGAAAAAAATCTTAAGTCTTCCATAGCTTTTCTGTCAGTTTCTATCCACTGTGTATTATGAAAACAGCAATAACCTTTTTAAAAGCGGTGTATTGGGATCATCAAGCCTATTGAAATATTGGCCTGTCATATATCAAACAAACTGAATGTCAGGGAGCTGTTGAATTGAAGTAGGACCAGGACAATTTGATATTGATTTGTTTTTATATATTTTCTGAAACTTTGGACAGGTTGACTTCCTCTTCAGGAAATATATATAAATGAAAATGTGGTGTTGCTTGCTGGTGTTCAAAATGCCTGTCAAAATCCAGTGGTAGTCAGTAAACTGCAACACAAAAACTGAGCGCGTGGTTCAGTCATCAAACTCAGTGGCACTGTTCAGAGTTTCACCTCCAGCTGTGTCAAATAATGAAAGGGATTTTGGGCTATATAGCCACTGTTTAGGAGCGGGCTGTCTGTTGTCATGTTGAGGTTCAGTGATCTCCATTGGCTCCTCAGGTGGTGAGACTGTAGTTGTAGTTGTTCAGGAACAGAGGGGAAGTCCTCATCCTAGCTATCGTCCCTTTTCCTTTTACAACTCCCTAAACTCTGCACTATAATGTCTCTGGCTCATATGTATTTGGTGACAAGGCAAAAAAAAAAAACTTAGAACTCAGGGTATATAGTGTTAAAAGTGGTCTCATTGGACATACATCTTATGTCCATAGTATAATTGTGCACTTCTCTTCAGGTGGGGAAACAAGTCCTCAGTCAGTGGTTCCCAAGCATTCTGCCTCAAGGTCTCAATGAGCCCATGTTTTCCACAGAGCTGAAGCTTGAGGAGCACTGGAGACCATGAACTGAACCATGGCAGTAGAAATGCCCCAACTCCTGTTTTGTCCACTCTACACACAACCTCACAACCCAACTGTGAACCTCAGAACTCTACTGTTTTGTACAACTATGAAGTAAATGAAGCTAGCTAGAGCTGATGTTGTATCTATTGCCATTTATGAATTTATTTTATAGCATGAAATAAAATATATTTATTCAAATTATATATTTTACTCATAATCATTCTGTGCTGCTTCATTTTGGTTCTTAAGCTTGTAAATTGCTTTTTTATTATATAAAAAATGTCAATAGAATAATGCGTTTGTTTGTAAAATAAAGACGCTGATTTGGCTCTGATTTGTCTTTTTTGTTTCACACAAGTGGATTTACTCATGTTTTTACATGTGCATTAAAACTCAAATGACAAAGATCAAAGCATTTGGTGTTAAAAGGGAAGAGGAGAGAATACTGTGCTGTTCAGCCACCCTTTAATTAACTTGTTTACTGTGTGTTGAACAGCAAGAAGGTCAAAATGTGTTGCTGGCATGCATGGAATTCATGATATTGCAGTAATACTGTATATGAATGCCCTCTGAAGGCATATCTGATGTAAGTATGACTTTAACCCTCCAGGGGGAGCTAGAGAATAACAAATACACACTCATAGGTCACTCATCTGTAGTGCAAGAAATTCTGCTCTTCAATGAGAAGTATAATCTCAGGATTATTAGGCCATTGTAACTTAAAACAGAGCTGTTTAACTGTCACTAATATAACATAGCCTTGACCAAATAAGAGGCCACTGGTGTGAAAATTAAGTTAAATACATTTTGAGAGATAAACATTACAATCCAGATGTCTTAAAAACCAGATGTCTGAAAAGAACTTTTCCTCTTGCATGTTCTATTTTGCTACAGGCAGTGCCCATGGAAAGTAGGCCATTCACAACGTTACAGAGGCCAAGTAGCAGAGTATAAAACAATAAATTGCTTTAGTCTCAGATGGCTGGTAATAAAATCAATTTATCTCCAAACAGGCTCCTGCTGGATCTCCAGTGAAATCCTCCACTTAATCCTCAGCAGTGTTATGGCTCCTGTCCCCACTGTGTAAAAAAATGCATCCAGAGGGAGAAATTTATTCATGAAGTGGCAGCTGTGCAACAGCCTCCCATAGTGTTACCACTGTTTGTGGGTTTTACAAAAAGTAAGACCATAAGGAAGCCAAATGACTAATAAACCACCAAATTGGCCAAGCTACGTGCTTCACTGACATTTTCTTGAAATAGTTTAGACCTCTGTTTTCAAGCTGCTTGTTGCAGTTTAACACAGACTTCAATGACGAGAATTTCAGTGTTTCACTATGTACAATTCCTCTGTGTGACATATTGTCTGATAGTGATAATCTCAGTAAATAACATTTAAAATAATCATCGCCAATTGCTGAAAATTCTAATAAACTGGACGAATTGTTTAAATGACAGCATTATATGGCTGCACAGACATCTGATCCTAAAATAATATGCAAAATTGCTCTGTTCAGTGGAATATGAGAATAAAAAGAACCACAAAATACAAGGCCAGGAAACCAGAGGCAGTCATGTTTCCACCAGGGGTCTTTAACTGCATTCTATGGGTATGATGTATTGTGGCTCTCTGTAACACAAACCCTAACAGTTGGACAGGAGTAAATAACTGATTGGTAATGCTGTTAATATGTACTGTACATATGATGATCATTAGTTTTGTTAAAGGCAATTTTGCAACTAGAACATGACAGGTGAGTCCTCATTTCCCTCCATGCAGTTGTACAGCAATGCACACGTAGTCCTGAAACTACATACCACTTAGTATCTCAAAGCTCAGGAGAGGCCTAGAGCAGGTACTCTTGCCTTATCTGAGTGCTGCTGGAGCACAAAAGTATTTCTGTGCCATGTTGTTTTATAATGTGACAAATTAATTGATTAAATTCAGATAAGTAGCTAGATGTGTCTCTCCATTCCCTCAAACCTAATCTCAGTGAAATGAATGGAGCTTTTAAGTCTTTACATGACTGTGTTATTAGGGCTGATGAAGAAGTGACTCAAGCTGTTACTTCATTAAACTGTATCTAACTGTGAATTAAAGATAGTCACAACTATGTGACAATGGAGCATAAAGGGCCGATTAGCTAGATCTTATTAGCTCACTGTTCTCTGAACAAGTATAATGCTGCCATGTTACAAGAGATTTGGGAAGGAGTGTAGCTTCTGAGGCAGAATAAGGTGAAACAGGTCAGAGGTTCCTATACACATGTAACGAAAATACAATCCTTCAAATTCATTTACCCTGGAGGAACTACTCCTCTAAATAAGAAACCACTGGAAACGGTCGTTTTGCTCAGGTGTTGTTGATAAAAAGTCCAGATCACTGTTATTGTCCTAGACATGCCAGGCTTAACTTACTTATAATGGGCCTTGGACATATTGACCTGTCATAGTAGGAAAAACACAGGTGAAGATGATAAATAGATAATTAATGTTGTACCTGCTTAATTTTTAATGTCCTGGTAAAATCCATGACTCACTGTGACTTGACTGTGACATAAGTCACTGGGACATTGTTACTAGTAACACCTGTTGTTTTCCCACTATGGGAAACTGATAAAAGGTCTATCAAAGACAGCTGGAATTCTGCATATTTGCCTGATAGCCATTGTCATCCAGCTGTGCAGTGTGGAAAAATGTGGTTTTCAGTTTACAAAATGAATGAATTGAATGGTGATAGTGTTTTGTTTCTTTTTTGGCTTGAGTGGATGAGTGTTGAGAAGATTAGAGAGCACTGAATATGAATACCATAGGTTTATAAATAAATGTTATGGGATAGTATTTCTTTCACAATTTTACTACTCTTCAACTTTTACTGCTTGACTTTGGAATCATTTGTGTGTTTCTATTCCAACTAAAGTAATAGAGAAAATTGATGTACTTATCTGAAGTGAATTTTCATGTGTAGCCACTCTAATCCTTAATCTTAAATTAGAATGTACAATTTACTCTCAATAAACCAAATCTGAATAAATAAGCTGTGGCTCACCTGAAATGGTTACAAAACCAAACCTTTCTGCATCAGTTTTAGTGAGTTTATGTTTTATTTAAAAAAAATAAAGTCTAACATTTAAAAATAGTCATTGCTAAGATGCAACAGTTGTTTCTAATACTGTTATTTTAGAAAACAATTAGCAAATTTGATAAAGTTAGTCTGTGTTTTCATGAGTGATTTGTATATCTCCCCACACTATGACATCCACAGTTATGTGAATGTACCTGGATGATGAAAAAGCTGAGTTGAGTTGGGACAAGTGTGCCTTGCTTAGTTGGCATGACATACAGCATAAACCAAAACCCGGAGAGAGGGGAACATTTGTCAGATTCTGAGAAACCCCCCCCCCCCTTTTCCCAATATAAGCCTTTTCATGTTGCTCACATTTTCCTGTATTAAAACTGAGTCAATCTGTTATACTGGAGTTGACCTATGCTCCAGTAATTTTGACTCATGGGTGAGTAATGGTTTAGTGGCTCTCGGAGCACTGATGTTTCTGTGTCGAGCTGTTTGACTCCACTTTGTTTCTTATAGAGCAGCCATTCACAGTACGTAACAATTCAACAACAGCAAGAAGTACATTTTTTTTAGTTTATACAGTCACCTTTATACTTTATAGTAAATGTGATTTTAATCTTTTAAGACAGACATGCATCATGTTTTCTAGGGGGTTGTCTCTGGTCTGTGTTTTACATATTGTACATAGTTATAACGCTTCCCTGCACTGTGATTATAATATCACTTTGGTTTAGTATTTGAAGGTTTCAGCATCATGTTTGGTTGCAGCCAAAAATCGACTTCACTGCCGAAAATAGTTTTTCTTAATGGATTTATAAACTAATGCCAGATAACGATGAAGTTTTCATGTGAGTCTTTGTGTCCTGCATCTGTGAGCAATTATCGATAAAGAGATGAAAATGCAGCGTGAACAGGGTTTGAAAGGTCACAGGCTGCATGTGGAAAAAATGTAACCTTTACCCAATTTAAGTATCACTGTCCAGTTCCCAAATATACAATGCACTAAAAGATTTGTATTAGTCTAACAAGAGAGATGCATCGCTAACCAAGGTTTTCTTGAAGCAATCATATACTGCAACACTGGAAAAGCCGCAGTAATACCTTACAAAATAAAATTTCCATTATGCTAAGGAAAATTCCTCTTGTCCATCCGTAAGAGATTTCCTGTGAGTTCCCAGCAGAGGACTCACAGACGTTTTGGAAGAACATGAAACAGTGGTCATGGCATGTGGCTGTAAAGCTATAAGCAAATCTGCACATCTCCACAGTTGGAAATCAGTTCAGATGCTGAGCTTTTGGAAAATGGGAAAAAAAACCCAAATTCAATAGTTCCACTATGTAAGTAATAAACAATGAAGTGACTATTCTCCCAAAGAGAAGCTCACCACATTATTATGTGTTTCTATTTTGAAGCCTTCTTAATAACAACCATATGCATCACAATAATTTTACAGCAGCAGTGGAGAGTGGTTTGAATAAATGACTTGGAAAAAGATGTTGATTACCTTTTATTGCGCTGCATTTTGTTTGGTTTCCCAAGTGTTCAGAAATGTGTTTTTGCTGACTCGCGGTGAGACAATCACAATGAGAGGTTGTGATGAAGTCACTGTTGTGTCACCTCCAGTGTAATTCTCCACTTCAAAGAAGTGACAGAGACAAAGAAATGGTCCAGACACTGAGATGATAGCGTAGCTGTGTAACCTCAGCGCATCCTGACAGGCTGTGGCGAGTTATGACAGAAAGATGGA